GTTAGCAATTTGTCTAACCTTTTTTCAAGGTTCTTAGCTTCCTTGCATTGGGTTAGAACATGCTCCTTTAGCTTGGAGGAGTTTGTTATTACCCACCTTCTGAAGCCTACTTCTGTCAATTCATCAAACTCATTCTCCATCCATTTTTGTTCCACTGCTGGTGAGGAGTTGTGATTCTTTAGAGGAGAAGATGCATTCAGGTTTTTGGAATTTTCAGCCTTTTTGCTTTCTCCCCATCTTTGTGAATTTATCTACCTTCAGTCTTTGTAGTTGGTGACCTTCGGATGGGGTCTCTGAGTGGATGTGCTATTCCTTTGTGTTTTTTAGTTTGCCTTTTTTTTTGTTTTGAGACAGAGTCTTGCTCTGTTGCCCAGGCTGGAGTGCAGTGGCACGATCTCGGCTCACTGCAAGTTCTGCCTCCCGGGTTCACACCATTCTCCTGCCTCAGTCTCCCGAGTAGCTGGGACTACAAGTACCCGCCACCATGCCTGGCTAATTTTTTGTATTTTTAGTAGAGACGGAGTTTTACCATGTTAGCTAGGATGGTCTCAATATCTTGACCTCGTGATCTGCCTGCCTTGGCCTCCCAAAGTGCTGGGATTACAAGTGTGAGTCACTGTGCCTGGCTCAGTTTTCCTTCTAACAGGCCCCTCTGCTGCAGGTCTGCTGGAGTTTGCTGGAGGTCTACTCCTGACCCTGTTTGCCTGGGTATCACCAGTGGAGGCTGCAGAACAGCAAAGATTGCTGCCTGTTCTTTTCTCTGGAAACTTCATCGCATAGGGGCACCTGCCAGATGCCAGCCAGAGCCCTCCTGTATGAGGTATCTGTTGGCACCTACTGGGAGCTGTCTCCCAGTCAGGATACACGGGGGTCAGGGACCCACTTGAGGAGGCAGTCTGACCCTTAGCAGAGCTTGAATGCTGTGCTGGGAGATCTGCTGCTCTCTTCAGAGCCAGCAGGCAGGGATGTTTAAGTCTGCTGAAGCTGCACCCACAGGCACCCCTTCCCCCAGGTGCTCTGTCTCAGGGAGATGGGGGTTTTATCTATATGTCCCTGACTGGGGCTGCTGCCTTTTTTTCAGAGATGCCCTTCCCAGAGAGGAGGAATCTATAGAAGCAGTCTGGCCACAGAGGCCTTGCTGAGCTGCAGTGTGCTCTGCCCAGTTTGAACTTCCCAGTGGCTTTGTTTACACTGTGTTGGTAAAACTGCCTACTCAAGCCTCAGCAATGGTGGACATCACTTCCCCACCAAGCTCAAGCATCCCAGGTCGACCTCAGACTATTATGCTGGCAGCAAGAATTTCAAGTCAGTGGATCTTAGCTTGCTGGGCTCCGTGGGGGTGGGACCCATCGAGCCAGACCACTTGGCTCCCTGGCTTCATTCCTCTTTCCAGGAGAATGAACGCTTCTGTCTCACTGGTGTCTAGGCACCACTGGGGTATGGGAAAAAACCACTCCTGCAGCTAGCTCAGTGTCTGCCTGAATGACTGCCCAGTTTTGTGCTTGAAACCCAGGGCCCTGGTAACATAGGCACCGGAGGGAATCTTCTGGTCTGTGAGTTGCAAACACTGTGGGAAAAGCACAGTGTCTGGGCCGGAGTGCACTGTTCCTCATGGCACAGTCCCTCCACAGCTTCCCTTGTGTAGGGGAGAGAATTTCCTGACCTCTTGCACTTCCCAGATGAGGTGACGTCCCACACCCCACCTTAGTTGGAAATGCAGAAATCACCTGCCTTCTGTGTCGATCTCGCTGGGAGCTGCATACTGGAGCTGTTCCTATTTTGCCATCTTGCCAGCAATCCTGTCTTTATATCTCTTAAACACTGGCTAAGGCCCAGTATTTGGCACATAATAGGTGCTCAATAAATATTTGAGAAGGCAGTTGAAAAAAACCAAAGTGTTCTTCATAAAAGTCTTATTTCTGCTTGGAACAACAGAGATTATACTCAGAAAAAGAAAAGAAATCCAGTCCATTAAAGGGCTGGCACTTGGGGGAGCAATGAGGTAAAGCCCCGCTGGCTACCCTGCTCATTCTGCAGGGGCTGGCTCTCAGAGGGGGAATGTACAGGGAGCAGAGGACTGGGGACAGCTCTGTTTTCTTGCTCTGTGCCTCTCGGGATTGTGGCATCAGCCAGAGCAGTTGTCATGACCCAGGTAACAACTGCCTTGATTGATTTTTGTTGGTTTTCCAAAAGTTACCAGTTGGGAGCTTTTGATCTTCTCTAAAAGCTTCTTTGACCTTTCAACTCAGATTACCAAGAGGATAAACACTTTGCCAGCCCTTTCTCTGAGTTCCTCCCACCCGTGAGAGTCAAGGGCCTTGACTTACTGGCATCTTCCTCCCATTCCTGCACATCTTCCTGAGTGCCTCAATGGTTGTATGCAAACATCCTCTCATCAACCAATCTGCTCACTCTGCTGGGGGCCACACCACATGAAGCCCTTTTTGGGAATTTAGAAAACTGTATCTGTCTCCCTGATTTTCCTCCCTAGGGCCAAACAAAAGCATTGGACTAAACAGCAGAGCAATGGGGGCGGGGGGGTGGGAGAGAGAGCGAGAGAGACACTAGAGACAATGCATGCATATCTTAGAAATGTCAATGTGGTGTGAGCCAAGAAAAATCAAACACATTCAGCTGTTTGGTTGTGGGTTTTCAGGAAGCCAGGCCTTTGCATAGTGCAGATGCTGTACAATGGTATCTTGAATAAAGAAGCTTAAATATTGCTTTAAGTGAGCCACACCTGTGTCATGTATCCTTTACCAGGAAACCTATACTGTTGGGAGTCCCTACAAGAAGTCCTTTCTTGTTGTCTACTTGACAAGACATGGCTCTCCACTAGGCTGCATTATTTAAGGGCGAGGCTAATGGGATGGGTTTTTTCTTCTGTCTTTTTCAAATGAAGGAGCTCTTGAAGACTTAATGATAAATTTTGCTGAAAGTTATCAAAATATTCTATTCCAAGTGCTTTTAGAAATGATTTTTTTACTGCACTCCAGCCTGGGCTACAGAGCGAGACTCCGTCTCCAAAAAAAAAAAAAAAAAAAAAAAAAAAAAAAAAAAAAAGGATTTTTTTAAAAAATGATTTTTTTTCTACTTTCTGGCATCACTAAATATGAAGCAAAGCCAAAGCCATGTGGTCACATAGACCTGGGTCTGGATCTCAGCCCTACTTTCTAGGAAATGACCAGGTATAAATTAGCTAATTTCTTTGTGCCTAAGTTTTTCTATTTATGCCAACAATATACATATTCCTACCCTAGCTGTTTCCTGAAATTACATAATATAGTTTACTGTGGGCCAATAACTCAAGGCCCTGGGCTCTCAGGGTTGGGAAGGACTTTTAGAATAAAGGTGGGCAAAATGTTCATCCTCTTGCCAATCTGAATTGAAAGATCCAGAAGGTATTAGAGAAGATCAAAGCCTCCTGATTGGCAGCTGCTGGCAAACCAACAGGAATCAATCAAGGCAGTTGTTACCTGGCTTATGACAACTGCCCTGGCTGATGCACAGAACAAGAAAGTGGAGCTGTCCACAATGCTCTCCTCCCTGTGCAGTCCCCCTTTGAGAGCCAGTCCCTGAAGCATGGGCAGGGTAGCTGCTGGGGCTTCTCTCATTGCTTCCTGCAAGGGCCAGCCCTGGGATGGACTGGATTTCTGAGTATACTGTGCACTGTTCCAAGCAGAAATGAGACTCTCACGGGGAACACTTAGTACAGAATCTGATGCATATTAGGTATACAGTTTTGTTGAATGAGTTTGTATGTGTGGTGCTATACTAAGTAGAGCTGTTTCTCCTTCTCTCATTAGTTCTTTCACCTCTGGGGCTAGTGGCCCAAGAACTCACTTCAACAATAGTAGGTGGGGGTATACTCTTGATATGGTCTACACTCAGAGTGTACTTGGCTGATGTTGTGTTCGGAGCACCCAGTACATGATAATGGTAGATAATAAAATCGATTAAAGTAATGATAGTAACATAAGAGAGAGAACATCAGACATGTAGGCATTTATATTACATAAATGCATCTCTTTACATTTTTTGAATTAATTAATAATGTTCATAGTCACAAGAATGCTCAAGAAAATGTGAGTAACCTACCTGCCTCAGACCTTCAGTTGCCCTTCTCACCTTCTCAGAGACAATCACTGTGGTGGTTTTAAAACACAGTTGCAAATTCTTTGACACTCTTCCCAACAGGAGAGTGATATGCTACATGACACTGATGTATTCTACGTAAACTTTTTGTCTCCTTCCCCTTTAATCAAGACACACTTATGACTGCTTTGGTCAGTAGGGCATAGCAGAAGTGAATCTATGTAACTTCTGGGACTGAATCATCACAGACCATGCAGCTTCTGCCTTCTGTCACTGCAACACTCACTCTTGGAGTCCTGACTCACCTCTTACATAAAACATTTCACTATCCTGAGGCCACCATGCTGTGAGGAAGCCCAAGTCACATGAAGAGGCCATGTTTAGGCATTCCAGTAGACAGTCCCAGCTGAGCCTAGTCTTTGAATAATTTCTGCCCAGGTGCCAGAAACGACAAAGAAGCCTCCAGATGATTGTAGCCCCAAGATGAGATACACGTAACCCTTCAAGTCTTCCTACTCAGGCCACAGACATTATGGAGCAGAGACAAGCCATCCACAATGTGTCCTATTCAAATTCCTGATCGACAGGATCCAAGGGCAGACTAAAATGATGGTTGTTTCACACCACTAAGTTTTGGGGTAGTTTGTTATGCAGATTTGATAACTTGAACAATCAGTATGATTGTGTGTCTGCTAAGAGAAATTTGTGTCTTCTTATATGTCACTTTCTCTTTTTCCTTAAATTTTTTTTTGTTACATAATAGTTGTACCTATTTTTGTGGTACATGTGAAATTTTGATACAAGTGTATTTCCTTTTTCCTTTTAACACAAACTGAAGCAGACTATGCACCCTGTTATGTACCATACGTTTTACAAGGAAACTATTTTAAAAAAGCTTTACTTACAGGTTTGCGAACATCAGGTAAGGTAATCCAGAGAGGAAACACTATGGGGAAAACGATCAGAAATGTGACTTGCTTGCGGGTTTCAGAAGGCCAGGAAAGGCTAAGAGGCTGGTCCTCCTCATCATCAGCTGTCTCTGTGGTCTGTGGCAGAAAAAGAGGTAAAATTAAACAAACAAAAATGTTAAATGTACACAGGCACAACAGCAGGAGCACAGAACAAGGGGAAAGCTCTATGTCTTATCAGGAGTTTTCTGGACTCGTTCCAGTAGCTTCATATGTGTGTTTTTGAGGTTTGTAAGAAAACCTCATTTGTCACAGTCTGAGTCCTAGGAACAAATAATACATTGCCCAGCCATGAGCATGTAAGAATTTTCTTTTCTCTCTTGAATGCTCTTCAGCTTCTCATGTTCATCAACTGATTATTCAACTGGAGTGGGCTTACAAGTACAATTCACGAGCTTCTTATAAGAAACTATCTGTGGAGGAAAAGACTTGATGACCACCGTCTCCCCCATCTTTCCATTTCCTTGAAGACAGAGCCACAAGCTTCAGGCTCCTGGGGAAGGAGAACACTGATAAAAATTAAAATTTCTTTGTTTCTCTTTTTTTTTTTTGAACACTGATTTTCATCAGGCCAATGAAAGTAACCACAGAAACAATTCAGTAATACTACTAAGAGAGATTAACTTCCCACTGGCCTTGGAATAACTAAGTGCATAGATTTTTGTGTAGTTGTGTTTTTTTCTTTCATTGATACTTTACATATTTATGGGGTACGTGTATTTTTTACATGCATTGAATGTGTAATGATCAAGTCAGGGTATTTGGGGCCTCCATCACCTTGAGTGTTTATCATTTCTATGTGTGGTAACATTCCGAGCCCTCTCTTCTAGCTTTGAAACATACAGCGTGTTGTTGCTAGCTATGGTCACCCTAGTCTCCTAAGGAACATTAGAACTGATTTCTTCTATCTAACTGTAAGTTTGTACCCATTGACTGACCTCTCTTCATTTCTCCCTCTCACCCTCACACCCTTCTCAGGTTGTCAGTTAGTCACCTGCTTAACCACAGTTAAGTTCTAAGCCATTGTACTTGCAGCCAAAGACAACTTACGCAAACATATGCCTCAGTCCTCAGAAACAGAAGGTAGAAGTCGAGCAAGACATTGAACCTGCACAGGGTGTTGGAGCCAGGGAAGAAACTTCAGAGTCTCTGACTTGGCAGCCAGTGGCCAGCGTTTTATTTGTCAGCCACTGAAGTCAGTAGCTTCTGAAGTCAGGGCTGGAAGAGATGGAGGATCTGGGCCCAGCAGGGGGTGACTATTAGACTGTCAGCTGAGCCCTCAACACTTCCAAAACAGCACTGTAGACATCATCAATCACTCCCTTCCCTGCTTGTTTAAAAATGAAAGTGCAGCAGTGGACCACGCATCAGATCTAAAAATATCAACAGGAACTTTTCCACTGATGCTTCCTTTTGAGACCATATAAATAACTTTAGAAAGCTCCCACCCCTGGGGCTTTTGCTTCCAGCACCACACACTTTTCAAACAGTAACAGCGGACCCCTCCAGCACCTGTGTCCCTACAGAGGTGGCAGGAGAAGCAGGCTCAGGTCAGCTGGCCTCGAGGCCGGGCTCGCAGCAATGCTACGTCTTGTTTATTGACCTGGCAAACCTGAGGTACTGCCGAAAGTATGTGTAGTGGTTTATACAATCTCTTCAACTCTCTCTAGGGGTTACAATTTGAAATAATAATTTAAAAAAGGGATGCCAGGCTATGTTGAAAAAGGTTGGTAACAACAGGTTCTTCTGCTTTGGGTATATGTCCTTGGCAGTGGGTAAAAGAATTTGTAAACAGCAAACATGATGGAATTTAAAGGGATTAGGTATAATAATAAGGCAGAATCAGGAAGTTGGCACAGTTTAGTTTGGTGCCCTGGATCCTTATTAAATACACACCTCACACTCCCTGTTTCTTTGCTATGCAATTCACATATTATTCCATCCATTGCTTTCTTCCATCCTGAAATGGAAGAAATCTTTGATGGAAGCTTGGTGTGCTGGCTCTGGTCCCTCTTCTATGCCACCTCTGTCTCTTCCTTGTGGATATAGCAGGTGTACAGAATATCATTCCCTATTGGGCTCACCAGCCTCCCAAGGTGTCAGCTAGCTACGTGAATAATCTTTGTGTCATGGGGCCAATGTGGATTAAGGAGACAGGTATGTTTTCCTGTCTGTTCCCTCCCAGGTACGATCCTTCTTGTTTAACCCAAATGAATGAGTTTCCCCTTACCTCCTGGAAGTTGTCCCAGAAATAGGCATGGGAGCCTTGGGGCATTGCATCATTCTTAATAAATACCCGATCTCACATGAGATGATTTTTTTTTTTTTGAGCAGAGGGTCAGTCAGCTTCCCTGAAGACCCATCAAGCTGATGGGTTCATTAAGGCTCCTCCCCGTTCTGGGATTGATGCCTCCCCCGAGCTCTGTTCATCACTACCATCCACAATCTAGCAACTTCTCTCTCAACTTCAAGCTAACCATTTTCTGATAAAACACAAAAGCAACTCTTTATGACTCATATCATTTTAATGACACCAACAGATGGTGACATTTCATCAATAACCCTTCTGCTTATAACCTACGGATTAGCTCCTTTCTCCATCTGCCAAAGTCACCAGGCAGGCATTGCCACTAGCAAATAGCAGAAAATAATAGTCTGTTTGGATGTATAAGCTCTAAACACACTACTGTCCAATGCAAACAATTAGCTGTATTGTACAGCTTCCAAAGCTGCATTGGAGGTAGCTGTTGCTAGGGCAGAAATGGATTAGGAGAAGAGACTATGTCTCAGGCTGTGCCAACAGGGCCCTCCATGGAAACTTCACAGCCTCCTGGGGGCCAAGTCCTGCTACAGGGAAGTACGGGAGCCTAGAATCCTGGGGTGGATTTGAGAGGTACCCCAGGAACAAGGCTGTTGGCATACATTAGGTGAAATTGTCTTTGCCAAGTAAAGTCTCACTCTGACTCAATGGGAGGCAGCTTGCAAGCTGGTTAGGGAAGTGGAAGAAAAAAATACTGTTCCAAGTTTGAGGCTCATTTTGTCTTTGTTCAAACTGGATGCTCCAGGGGAGAGGCAACTGAGGTTAGGGCAGCGATCTTCCAACTTTTCCTAGAGTTGTGATATGCTGGCTTTGACCTTGTGACAACTCACCCTTACCTCCTAAAACTTCTGCAGTGTCCATAGAAAACAAAACAAAGCAAAATGGTCCAGAAAGGATTCAAATGGCTTTTGATATAAGGGCTTAAAATAGTTTGATATCTGCTGGGGTCTCTGTAGAAGCCCTAGAATTGTGTAAAGCTTTAGGGCCTTGTAATCTTTGATATGAAAAATCTGACACAAAAACATATGACTTTAAGTTCCCACATGGTGGGTGGTGGTGTGTTGGTTGTCAGAACTTAAAAGAGCCAGTGCAGCATGCTGGGCGGAGTAGGTGGTAGAGAATCAGGAATCCTGAGTTCCAGTGTCTGCTCAGGCTGTGATTCCATGAGCAGTCACCACCAACACCTGCAAGCAGTCACTGAGCACGTACAGGTGCAAAGCACTGCATTTAATTCTGGGACTCGTGCTTTCGAGGAGTCTTGGATTTAAAAGGTGAGACAGAACAGAAGATTCCAAAGAATTACTGCAGTATTTATCCAGTTACAGGGATGCTGGCAGGTTACGTGGCAAGAGACTACTGCTTGTCTTCCTATATCTATTCTGCCTATTGTGGACTGAATTGTGTTCCTCCCAATCATGCCCCTTCCTTCCTCCCCAACCAAATTCATATGTTGAAGCTGCAACCCCCACCTCTCCCCATCAGTACCTCAGAATGTGACTTATTTGGAGATAGGATCTTCAGAGGTAATTAAGTTAAAACAGGGCCACTAGGGTGGGTCCTAATCAAATCTGCCTGGTGTCCTTACAGGAGAAGATCAGGACACCTGGAGAGACACCAGGGGTTCCTGTGCACAGAGGAAAGGCCACATGAAGATGAGGGCACAGCAGGAAGGTGGTGCCAGCAAGCAAAGGAGAGAGGCCTCCGAGGAAACCAACCCTGCCAATGCCTGGAGCCTGGACTTCTAGCCTCTAGAACTGTGGTAAAGTAACTTTCAATAAAAAGTGATACAAATAAAAAGCGATACAGTGTAACAACTATTTACATAGCATTTACATTGCATTAGTCATTCTAAGCAATCTAGAGATGATTTAAAGGATATGGGAGGATATATATTTGTTACATGCAAATTCTACCCCATTTTATATCAGGGGCTTGAGCATCCATGGAATTTGTTATCCTTGGGGATCTTGGAACCAATCCCCCATGGATACCAAGGGACGATAGTACTGCCTTTTTGCTTTAACAAATAGAAAGCTTGCTTTTAGCTAGGCCTGGAATAATTTCAGCCTTCTTGGCCAGGTGTGGCAATGTGATTAAGTTCTGGCCAAAGGATGTATTAAAGTGTCCGCCACACAACTTCCTAGATCTGTCTTTAAAGGGTGGGGGTGTATCCTTCCGTCCTCCTTCCTGATGGCTGGAGGGGACATTTTGCCCACAGCAGAAGAAAATCTTGAGCCATGGGGTAGAGGAACAATATGTGAGGCTCTGAGTTTCTGACACCCATCAAGGGCCATTCGAGCCCTGGACTGCCTATATTGACTTGAGAGACAATCTGAAACTTAAGATTGATTGCAATGCTTCTGGGACAAAGGCACCCATATGCTGTGACTTCGTTTACTGAGCAGCCTGGGATCGCTCTATGAATTACACAGGAAGCAGGAATCTGGTCTCTCTATAAGATATCTTATTAATGCAGGTCAGGGGACCACATGTAAACACTAGACTAGGTGTCAAAATGCGGGACTTCACATGGGTTTTCTCGCTGTTTATAGGAAAGTCTGCCCAAGTCATGCACCCAACAATGACAGTGCTGGATCTGTGCTCACCGTGTTCCAGTCTTACTACTGTCCTTTCTCATCCTGAGCTGTATTTTCTCAAAACCATTCATTTTATCCTTTTTCATTAGACGTATTTTTGTAAGTAGCCTCGAATCTTGTGAAAAAAGGTGAGGCAGGACTAAAGAAATGTAACATTCTTC